TCAGCATCAATTCCTTTATTTAAAAAATCACTCAAAACGCACTTATTCCAACAATAACATGAAGCGCCACTGATAATTACTTCGGTTTTTTAAATGGCGCTATATAAGTTCTTACTTTATTATTATTAACTAACCGAATTATTTCTAGTTATATAACTCATACTCTAGTACTTTTCAGTATATATGATTGTTAATTATTGTTAAAGTTTTGTCAATATTTTTTGGAATAATAATAATAATTATTATTATTATTATTATTATTTTATTATAAAAATAATAGAAATAATAATAATTTAAAAAAAATAATAATATGCATGTTTTTATATAGTGCTCTATACAACTATGTCTCAGAACACTTTTCCACATTATTACCCTTGTCATTGGAACGATGCCTATGGGGGAAATCACATAGTTTTCTGCATGAAATATATCTGTGCATTTTTCACTCGAACCTCCTTATGTACCAACATACTCCTGGGTGGAGAGAAGCAATGCAGATAAAGTGCCTTGCTCAAGGGCACAAGCGAAATGCACAGCTCTCGCTTCTCCAAACCACTTCCACGAAGTTTGTTTTATTAAATTGAGGCTATTTAGCAAAATTCTGCAATGTAAAAAGTTGTTTGATTTAATAAACCAGAACGAACAAACGAATATGCAACTGTATCATCATTTGAAATACATTAGTATAACAAACTAAAAAAAATGTTTTAATATCATTACTTTGTGATAAAGGTAGGAGGCAAAGGTAGGAGAATAACCCATAACATCTACTAGCGTCATTGTGCTGAATTGCCGTGGTCCGTGACGCCGTAAAGAGGCGCTAATAAATTGAACCAGCATCGGGGTAGCTCGGGATGCATTTGATTCCTTAAAGTACTGACGAGCCATATGTGTAAACTGGACCTCCATTTCAACTTCGCTCTACCAACCGAACCATGGGAGAGGAGTGGCTCGAACCAACACTGATGTTAAGCCTGTAGTTATTAGCGGCGCCCCTGCCTTAACACTCGGCCCTCGAGTCGCCACGTAGCGGTCCTACTAAACACCACACGACCCCACACACATATAATATATAAACCACTCAAAATATCCAGTCCCACAGAATTAGGTGAGGGATGCTATTGGCTCAAGCGTTAGTAACCACCTCAGCTCAGTAATGATTTGGGCTTAGGAGGTAAGAATTTATAAGGATATGGTCCCTCTAGATGTTCAAAAATGGCAACCTCGTACC